GTGTGTGTGTCCCCCCCTTATCCCGGGGAGAGACACGTCGTCAACAGCCCCCGGACGGTGCCGCTCGCAGCACCGGAGCCGGGTACCGGTACCGGTACCGGTACAGCCAAAATGGAGGTGCTGCAGGACGGCACCGGGGGGGAGCTCCCGCGAAAGTCGGTCACCTGGCGTCTCTTCTGCGTTAGTATCTATTTGGGGGGGGGGGGGGTGGGGGGTTTTTTTTTATTATTAAAGAAAAACAACCGTTCTCCTCTCCTGGAGATGCGCTAACCGCGGCCTGGGGTCCCCGGCCCCCCCGGCCCCGGGCCCGGCTGCGCCGCTGGGTGGGAGCCCCGGGAAGGGGCCGGGCTGGATCCCTCCGTGTATTTTTCCATTTCTACTTGGAGAACTTGCGTTTTGCTGGGATGCCTGTTTGGGTGCGATGAGAGGCATTTCTCGGGAGCTCTAAGGAGAGGAGGAGGAGGAGAAAGTAGCCCGAGAAGAGATGGGTCTCGGAAGCATCCGTCGCCGGCAGGCTGGATGAAACTCAGACGCACCTAGTTCGCAGTATCGGTTTCATGAAATTCATCACGAAACGTCCTCTGACCTTTTTTCACTTAGGAAAAAGTCAGGTGGTAGAGCTGGTATTTGAATACATCTACTGTGATCTAGTGGTGATGAGCCCCACTAAAGCCCATCCACTTCCCAAAATAAATGGTTCCGTTACATAGGAGGTTGCCAAGGAGCTTCTACTTATATGAATTTTCCACTCCATGGATAATTTTGTGTATCTTCCTATATTTTAAATTTACACCCATTACTTTCTTACCAGCTTTTTAAAAACTCTTGGTTCCAATATTTCCCTTTCTGCCTCTGTTGCCGTGTTTGTGTTGAATTCTAATCGTTCTCTGCAGAGACGCATGGGACGGACGGCTGCTAACAAATGACACTGGGCCATATTTGGTCACATTTGCTCACGGTGACTCATACCTTAATCTGCAAGTAGCTATATTGATTTTAGTATCTACTATTTCTCCAAGAGCTGTCACCGCTTTGGTGGTGGTTCGTCACCACCTTTCATCTCTTATGGTTATGATACTGTAAAATGTCCCATCTCCTTCTAATATCTCTTCATCCTGCAAAGTTTTGATATGGCAGCCTTTCTTGCTCCTTTTTTTATAGTTTTTCCTTTTATTTTACCTGATGCCACGAGTGTTGTCTTCAGTGGTGTGGTGGCCGTGGGGTGTCCGTCTCCAGCATGAGAGATTTTTTTTAATGCAGTATTTGACATAGGCATGGTCTCTCTCCGAGTTTTTCATTCTCAGCACCTCTCCATTTGGACAACCACTTGATTTTCAGCATCGTTCAATAATTTCCTGTTTCAAATGATCTGATAGTTCTCACTATTTGTTTTTAGTGACCACCATTCACAGGCTTGTATGCTGGAGGATTATGTCTAGCATTTCATTAATCTGAGGTGGCTGGATGCACACGTTTGCCTTTGTACAGCAAGTCCTTTATTTCGCTTCTTTAGCACACTGATACTGTTGAGCTCTCAGAAATGCCCAAAGAAAATGCAGACTGGCTGCCATTTAGTAACCATACGTTGCTTCCTAAATACAGTGGCATACGATCGCCCTGCCGTGAGAAATTCTGGAAAGGTGGATGAATCCCGAGGGACAAATTTTCCTCGGAGCTGTAAGTCTTACCATGAATCACTGTAGTAAATCACCACTGAGCACTCGAAGATGTAGCTGCTAGAATTTTTTTAATCAGATACGCAAACAAAGAGAGCATCCATAAGATTTGGGGAGATCTAGTTCATTCCTCTAGCAAAAAATAGTCACGTCAAGTGCTGTAAACAGCACCTGTAAGAAACAGTACCTCTCAAAGTTGGTGAAAATCAGTAGGTTCCCTAGAGCTGGGAAAGAGACAGGTAGCACGAGGTAAAATACATATGGATAGCCACTTTCACAGCTCCCTCCCCTTTGAGCTAACATTAGACTGGGGCTAGGAAACTGGGGCTAGCAAAAAAACCAAGCTTGTCAAAGCGGTCCTTAAAATGGAGACGATGGCTTTGGGGGCATGAAGGACTCGAAAGAAAGAACTGAGAAACACAGGACTGGTTTGGCAATCCTCATTTTCACTCGTGGTTGGCAAGTCCAGCTAGTAATAGGGACCACAGAATATGGGCAGATGATATGTAAAAAAAAGGTAACACTTGTACACCTGGAAGTAGGAGTTTGAAACAAGTGTGAGTATCCCATGTTTCCCTCGTGCTTGGGTTTCCAAAGGTTTTTATGCCTCCTTTCTGCGTCTCTCCCACCAGATCATTAGGAATACTAAAATGCCCCGACAGGGAAGTGTCAGGAGACGTCCCGCAGTGCCCGGGGCGCGCGATGAGCGGTTTCGCCTGCAAATCGCTCGCCAGCTTCAGTGAATCCCTACACCCACACGCCAGCAAGGTGCAGGGCAGGGCGGGGCACCGACTTCTCCCATTAACTGAAAATATCTCTGAGCCATACTCTTGCAAAATTATAGCCAGGAAAACATACCAACTGACATGGAGTTCATATAACAACTGCCCACCCATTTCATTATTTCACAAATGTGTGATTCGTGCTTGTGAGCTGTCACCGTTAACATTTCCATCTGTCTCAATATTGCTTCTATTCTTAGTTGCTATGTGATAGATGTAGGTGTATGAAAAGGATTTTTCCCCCCTCCCTGTGTCATGAAACAAAATAAATGAAAGCCACATATATGTATCTACGCACTTCATGCAGGCAGCAAGAAATACAGGCACCTTCGTGGCGCTCCCATTACTAGAAGTAGAGGTGGAGTAAGAAACACGTGCCTGTGGCCTCTCGGTGCTGCTAGAACATGTACTCAATGGGGAAAAACATAAATAAGTCAAAATCTAACCACAAAAGAACGATATGGTTTTGATCTCCCTTTGAACATGCAGTTTGAGAGACCTATTTTCCTAATCACGTACGTATGGGAGTAATTTTACTTATCACGTAATCCTAATTGGTCTTTTCCTGAGGCAATCTCAAAGGGAAAATATCCGTGACACACTTCAGCATTCAAAGGATCGGGTCCTCAGCTGTGTAGATATTTCCACACTCGGAGCTTTCA